TTGCATTGTGGGAAATGTAGTATTGGTGCGTGTAAAAGACCTGCGGGCTCTCAGCTTGCTGCGGTCCGCGGGCCGGTTCTAATAATAAATCAATATCATCCCAGGGGCCACTGAAAACATTCTCGCGGGCCAAATCCGGCCCGCGGGCCGGCACTTTGACATATGTGCTCTAATCCCTCGTTGTGTCCGAGGACCGGCAACCCAAGGCCGAGGCCAAGGACTTGACTGCCAAGGCCAAGGACTTGACTCCCGAGGCCAAGGACCAAGGACCGATCTTCGGTCCTCGAGCCGGTCCTCAAGGCCAAGGACCAAGGACCGACCTTTGGTCCTCGAGCCGGTCCTCGAGGCCAAGGACCGGCTCGAGGACCACAACACTGGTACTGGTACAGGCGTACTGCCGAGAAGGCACAACCACCAAGCACAGATTCTCCTTTGACGAATGTCATGGCCCAAAACTCTGAAAACAATCCACATCGGGTCCACACGAAGTAACAACAAACACCATGGGACAAAACAAAGACAAAAAAAAGCAAAGCTCTTGAAGAGCACTTGCCGACGGCTGCCAACTACGGCGCCATCTTGGGAAAAAAATCTATCTCAAAATTATGGGAATTATTTTACTTCATTGCAATTGATTGTTTCCTCATTGAGGATCAGAACTCTAAATGTTTGAAGTTATCGATGGAAAAAAAAGACACTTTATGTCAAAGCTTTGTCAGGTCTCCTTGGGCCCACAGATTAAAGTGCAAATACGTTTTTTGTTGTTTTTTTTTTTCCCGTAACTCTAGCTCTTTGAGTATCACCCTCTTGCATTGTGCTTACCAGTTTGAGACAAGCGGCAAAAAGGACCCCAATAACAATAGTAATGTTTTAACCTCTTGGTTGTTGCATAGCTTTGAGTCTTGGTTCGACATTGACACACTTGGTGAGGCAGAAAGTGTGGTGGCTGCTGAACGTGAACGGAACATCCTCAGCATGCTGCACCAGGTCAGTCACCACGCACAAGTACTGCTTTCCTTGAATGTAGCTTATACTGGTTTTCAGATTGAATCTATTGTTGAGCCAGACTTTTTTTTTTTTTTTTTTTTTGGTCTTAGATTCTGACTCCATTTTTGCTGAGGAGACTGAAGACTGATGTGACACTGGAGATTCCTCCAAAGAAAGAGATCATTGTTTATGCCCCTTTAACTGCCAAACAAGAAACTTTCTACACTGCTGTGGTGAACAAGACCATCGCAAAAGTCCTTGGTCAGCATAAGGTATCTTCGTGAATGACTTGAGATGTGGCCCATGTTCCAATATTGTCCAAAGTTCTTAAACTCTAAGTAACTGAAGCAAGCTTAAGAGCACACAAATCATGATCAGCAGATTTCCGTGGAAAAGCACGTGGATTGACTTATGTCGATCAAAGCCTCTCATTGCCAATCACAGAAACCGGCCACCCGTCGCTCGTACTTTGCAGCATACAGTCAACTAGAGGAGAGCCTATGTGCAGTGTAGCGTCCTTTCCCGCCTTCCTTAAACACTGCGCAAGCGTCCAGCACAGGCAAACGTTTCTGCCGTGTGGATAGTTTATGGAATTTGAGAGTGATGTTAAGTTTGCATCCCGCAACACATGCCACCAAAAGATACAGTCGTACCTCGGTTTTCGACCATAATCCATTCCAGAAGGCTGTTCGAAAACCGATTTGTTCGAAAACCGAAACCACGCTCTTTTTAAAAAAAAAAATCTTTACTGAACACGTCTGCTCACAATGGAAAGCTACATGAGGAAGCCTTAGACGCTTCCCCGTCTACCCGAGGAAGCGTCACTTCCTCATGTAAGGAAGGTGAGAGGAGTCAAGTGGTGCATTCAAGTGCACTCTGTTTGGTCAAGAACCGATTTTCGGTCGTAATCCGAGGCATAAAAAACTCGAAATTTTTGGTCGAAAACCGATTTGGTCGAGAACAGAGACGTTCGAAAACCGAGGTTTGACTGTACTTTGCGTGGCGAGCATGTTAAAAACCTTAAAAACAACAAATTTCAAACAAACCCTTTCAGAAGGCTCAACAAATATTTGAATTCATCCAACTAAATAACCAACCGTTGTCAATGGTCATTGGGTTCCACCGTCTGCTCTTCCCCATTGGAGCTCCACTACATTCTACCTGGTTGCAAAGTCAAGAGATCGCCCTGTCAGAGTTCCAGTAGACAGTATACTTAAAGGCTCTTGAGATTCATTCTTCTTGATTACCAGGAATCTTGCACCTGTCTCTACAGTAAATATTACTTCTGTAGTCCTACATGATTGCATACGGTGCTGATTCCTTTTTTTAAATTTAAACAAGAGATTTGCAAACATCTGCTTTTATGTTGGGAGACAATGATCGATATTGTTTTTAATGCTATAGACCAAACCAGTATATGAATCATAATTTGTTTGTGCAAATTTCAGCACTGTCAATTTGAAATAATATCCTGTTTTTTGAATAAAGGTATTGAAAAGCCTGGGGGTCGTTGGAGTTGGGGTGGTAGGTTAATGTGATTAATTATTAAAATAACCGTTGGTTACAGCTCTGAAATAAATCGAACATTTTACAGCTAAACCCTGTGATTTGGTATCGGCAGTTCTCGCCCATGGATCATCAGAATAGGCATCATCATAAAACTAGTGCTGTCAAGAGATTACAAAAATTGTGATATTAATTAATTATGATCTGTAATTAATTTATGTAATTAATCTATATTTTAATCTTATCTAAAAATTGATGAGAAAACCCCTATTTTCATTTTAAATCCATTACATTATTGAGGCAGATCAAAAGATTGACATCACAAAAAAAGTGGCATTTTAAAGTCTT